CAACTCACATACATATTTGGGAAATGAGTAAAAACAATGAGACTCGAGTCACTCTCAACTCTCATATATATTTGGGCAATATATCTATTATCTCATTTTCAACGTTCGCTTTTACTTATATCTCATCCTATCAAATAAGCATTACATTGCAGAGCGAGTATGATATAAATTTTGAGCTTCATTTTAAGTACATATCCCTCTCTGAAAAGTTTTACTCTAATGGGTAAGGTGAGCTCATATGCTGAAGTAGCCATTTTCACCAAAATCGGCAATAATATTTCAAATGGTATTTAGCATTGCATCATTGTGAAGGAAATGCAAGACTTTGCACATCAATTGACAGAAAATAATAATAATAATAATTCTAATGGCTTTTCTGGAAACTAGAAAGCAACATCATCGAAAAGTAAGATATATAGCCCAATTTTGGAAAAAAAGCCACAAATGGCTTTCACAGATTACACTTGACGGGCGGCTAATTCTAAAGACAAGGAGAACTCACAAGCAATATCATCAAACATTCAAGAGAGATATTTACATAAAATAGTTGTTGCATAAGGAAAATTATCATCATAAAATAACAATTTTGAAAAATAAATTCTAAAGAGCTAGAAGCTGAGAAGCGTTTGAGATTAAATCATTCAGACACAATCAAATCGAGTCAGAAACAAATAGAGCCCAATAGAATTAAAGAATGTTTATAAATAAACGTCTGATATTACCTCTAAAATTCGGTAATGAAGAAAATGACTTATCTTTCGTAGAAACTATTGATAATGGTGCCAAGAGGTGATTAACACATCTCCCTTTTTCGATCATAGGCGTAGGTTACAAATCTTCTTCGACTCATTTGCTGTTTTGATCTGTCATTCCTACCCAGTAAGTTACTCAAATATTTAAAAACCCAACATACAACTCAAAAATCAAAGGACTAAATGAGTTTCTTCGTGACGAAGGGAGGGCAAAGAGAGCATTATCCTAGAATAGTCATCACTATGCCTTTCTATTATTATTGTTTTACAATAATTCTAGTAATTGGCAAAGAAATTTTTTACTGGGACACACTCATTATTTCAAATTGTTTAATCGTTTGCTGCTAATTTCAATTTATACCTCCAAACTAAGAAAAAGAAATCCTAATTTACACATAAATATAGCCAAGTGTTCCATTTACAAATATATAAAAAGACAAAATCTGGGATGTGCAAATTTTTCTTTAGTTTCGTACTTCGTTGATTTTCATGTCGATATTAGGCAAATTATTTTCATTCATGAAACTTATGAACGTGTTTTTGACGTATAATTTAGGTACAGGTGCTTTCATGATAATGTTTATGTCGTGTTATGTGTTTCTTTGGCATGATTTTTGAAAAAAGGTAAAGAAAAAATCTGGATCACTTAATTGTACTTAATCTATTTGACCGATTATTACACTTAAATGAAGATTTTGTTTTCTATTTAGCATAAATGTTTCCTTATCGGGGCAAAATCGAGCCATCGTTGTTGCAATCAATCGTTTTTGTGGCTAGCCTGGTGTGCTAGTACACCGTGCTCATCATGTCGATTTTGTTGTACTCCCACCATCTCAATTATATAGGTTTGTTTCGTTTTTCACACTGATTAAGAAAGCATCTTTAATGTCATTAAGAAAATTAATTTTTGTCATTAGAAAATTTAATTTTTAGTATGTAAAAATAAATTATTGTTGGAACTAATAAAGAATTTGAAGAAGAAAAAGAAATTAGAGTTGTTCCATGTTTTCAAGAAGTTATTAGGGGAGGATTACCCTCACCTTATTAAGTGGATCATTTATATCTTCCCAAGTAATGTGGGATGCTAATATGCCCCCTCACGCACAGCGTGGGGCATGCCAAACAATTGTGAACAAATCGATATTGGGTGGCACCCAACATTGCATAATTGGGTCTAGCTCTGATACCATGTTAAGATTTGGGGGTCCATCTTAAAAGATCAACCTTATTAAGAGGAGTAGCCCAACATCTTTATTAATTAGTCTGTGTCAACATCATTTATCGATGTGGGATATATATCCCTTAACAGATGTAACCAAATCACCTTTTCAATTTTCAATTTGGGGATAAATGGTTTTGACTTGAATAAATCTTCAATTCTTCCTTCAATTTAGCTTTTTACAAGGATAAAATAGTCTTATTACACTTTTAAATAATTAAATTTTATTTTATTTTTGAGAATTTGGTCAAAGGCCAATTGAACAAAAGCAGATTGAAGGGTGGCCATTTGAACTTATTCCTTTTTCTTTAAGGGATAATTTTAGCCTTGACAACAAACCTTACAAAATTTTGTAAGTTTCACCTTAATCTTTCATTTGTTACACCTGTAGTCCCAAACCTTTAAAATACATGCTATTGGAGGACAATTGATCCATTCATTTGACTGCTAATTGATCATAATAGTGAATTTTGACATATTTTGATTAATTTTTAAAGGCAATATGATAATTTACATTTTCCACAAAAAAACATAATTATAATAATTAAATCAAAATTAAAAAAATCAAAACCAAAACAAAAATCACCCAACCATCTCCTTCTTTCCCACCCCATATCCAACCTCTTACCTCAAAACGAAAATCACAGTCATCGCCACCCCAACCATTGCTGGCACCACCACCACTACCACCACCACTCATCCAACGTTTGTCTATTTCTCAACACGCATACTTCGTATTGAGGTATTTGAAATATTTTATCTTTATTTCCTAGCATTAAGGTTTTTTAAAATTTTAATTTGTAGCACATGTTCTCTTCAAAAAGACTAGTGAATTACTCATGTTTAAGATTTTACAAGTGAAATAAGTAAAATTTTAAATTTAATAAAATATAAATAATGAAGAGAAGAGGAGAAGAAAATTTCAATCAATATATTCTTCTTTTAAACAAAATTATGACTTGTTAGACGTAAATAAAGATTGAAAATAATTTGCCTTGAAAAGATATAAAGAATGATAAATGTTGTTTGTTTTTTTTCTTAAAATCAAAATTTTAATAAATTTTGACAAAAATTGATAAAATATGGAAAGTGTTATGTGTACACAATAGTTTACACAATCTTTTACACCCCCTTCACATGGAGGGGGGCCCACATATAATAAAATATTTGTGAGCCCCCCTCCATGTGAGGGGGTGTAAAAGATTGTGTACACCACAAGGTGTACACATAGAATAATCCATAAAATATATGATTGAAAAGTTGATAAAAGTTGTGATTCTCATTAAATATAAGGTTAAAATTAATTATTAACTTTGACTTAAACTTCTGTTAACTTTTTTAACTAAACCAAACAAGAATTAAGATATAACTACCTCATATTTTTAAACTAAACCAAACACAAAAGGGATCACTTGCATAATTTTTCTATCAATATTCGATTGTTGCCTACTAACTACCTCATATTTCTTTAGTTTCGTACTTTGTTGATTTTCATGTCGAGATTAAACAAATTATTTTCATTCATGAAACTTATAAACATGTTTTTGACATATAATTTAGGCACAGGTGCTTTCATGATAATGTTTATGTCGTGTTATGTGTTTNAGAAATAGTAGTTAATTGAATTTCCAAATTAGATGCTTATTTTAGAAAAGTGATTATGATTTGATTTAATAGATTTTTTAGTATTTTTCTACTTCAATTAGAACTAATTTAAACCTTATATAAATGGGACTTGTGCATCGTAGTAGACACAATTTAGATATGAAATGAACTTGATATTCTGTCCCCTCCTAAATTCTAATTAATCTCTCTCTCTTTCTCTCCCTCTATTTTCTCTCCTTTCTACTTTCTTTTTCAATCTTGTTCTTCCTTGAATTATGTCCTACGTCGCAAATATTTTTTGAACATATACTGAAATATACATATCTGAAGGCAGATAAGCTCAATGCACCCTGAGAGAAAAAAAAAGTTAGGGCCAATCAGCATGTTATAGAAGTGACCTTTGTAACGGACCTCCCGTTCGGCCCTTGAGGTTCCAGGGACCCCCAAGACAGCCTACCCCACACATGCCACCGGTAAGCTTAGATATGTAACATAAGCATAACATAGGGATAGAAAGCATGCTATTAAAACCTGTTAAAGGGACATCGTCGGTGCACTTCCGAGAAATATAGCAATAAACCCGCAATAAACTATCTTGTCATGCCACATGGGTAGGAGAGTTCTCCAGGTCCGTGACACCTTGCAGGCTTCTGGCCTAAAGTCATATCAGAGGCATAGGAGAATCCTCATAGAACTTTGAGTCTTATACTATGCTTTCAAACTCGATAGAGGAAAAACTTAACATGACAGCCAAAAGGCCACGTTTAGACCAAAAAGTTATTTTTTTGAACTTGTTTGATTAATTTTATAAAATAATTTCTTATAATTAAAAGAATTTTTAGATGATGGCCTCATATGACTTCCTCTAAAAGTTCTTTTAAAAGAGAAAACTCTTTTAGAAATTAATTTCCAATCACTAATTAAGATAACTTCCTTGAGAAGTTTTTCTACCAGATAGAAACACAGATATTGTGGGAAGACAAAGCTTTAAAACTGTTGTGAAACAAAATGAGCAAACAATACAAGTCACCATGTCCAAAAGTTTCACAAATACGCAATACTTCAGTTGAATTGTACCTCTACAAGCTACATTACTTCATGAAGGTGAAAAACTTCAAGCTAGTACAAGACCATTATCAACCTAACAGCTTTCATTACAAGACACCACTTGTGTCATCAAAAGAAAGAAAGAAATTTAAAGGGCAAAAATGATAATGTCTTCTGGTCTTTAGGCTAAAGGCATCATCAAAAGAAGCAATTTGCTAGGTCCAGGCATCACACCATAACTGTAATAATGGAACTGTGAAAGGAAGTAAAGAAGGGGGAAAAATTAGAAACAAATATAGGCTTTACGCAACTTCTAAACTAAAATTTAACAAAAAGAAGGAAGTCATGTATTACCTCCATGCCTTAAGAGCCAGACACTAATAATCATAAGATTTTTCAGAAGAAACTGGATTCTGGCTAGAGAACCTGTAAGAGTGGTAAAACTATGAGCTCGTATGAAATAATTAGATCTAACCAAACCTTTCAAGAAAGACTGAGAGTTGAAGAAACCAGTAGAAGATTATAAATGTTGAGGGAGAGGAGGGAAGGAGGACAAATTCTAGGAGGGACAAAATTTTACCCAGCGACACCAGAATGACTTGATGAATAACCACCATATGCTCCATAACCACTTTCATCAACGATCTAAAGCATTGAACATGGATCAGGTTGGGGACAACAGGTGAAAGTTCGCATGGCAAATAAATAGATGATAAAGAGAACATTTGATGTACAATAGTACAGTTCTATAAGGATATCACTTTATCACATAATAGGAGATCAATGTGATTCTAATTATGAGAATCAGAATATATTCAATCTTATTAAACAATTTCGAAGAGGGTACCTGTGAAGTATTATAACTCCCGTAACTTTCACTTGGTGGAAAATTTTTGGAGTCATAACCACCTGAGTAAGTTGAATATCCATGATTTCTTGATCTATTATCACGACCCATATATTTTGGGCCATCAGACATGTCTGGTGATGTTTGACGATATGGGGCAGGTGTAGAAAATCCAGATGAAGTTCCCTCAGTCTCAAATATGTTTGCCCTCAAGCGCATCACTACTTGTAGTAAGGCAGCTCTAGCCGTATTCGTGTCTCCAGTAATCTGGCAAGCATCATGTGTATTTAGTGATATCATCTGATACTCATGCCCAACACACAAAAGTTGAAATGACAGATAAACAAAGAACACATCATTTATTTTTACCTTAATCATCCTAACATCTATTCAAACGTGAAAACTACATAAATGAAAATGGAAATCCAGAGACAAGATAAGCAGACAGGGAGACAGGTAAAATAGGCAGGTATATAGATGGATTGACAGATAATCATGCACACATGAACAAACACAAAGTCATCAACCTGCACCATCTTGTCGTCTTCAGATGCAACTTTGGGAACATGTTCGTCAGAAAGAATCCGGATGTTTGCCCTCGTAGTATTTCTCATCTCTTTAACGATAGCCCCACCTTTACCAATAAGACACCCAATTCTAGAGCTTGGTACAAGTAAACGCGTTGTGAGAACAGGATCACCTGATTCTCTCTCTGACCTCTCACTGCACCGTGGTTGCAACCGCATTGTCGCATCGATAGTTCGGGAAGGAGCATCAAACATCTGAGGTATGAAAACTCAGGTCAACACAGACATATTAACTTGGTTAATTGTAATTATGATTGTCAAAACTACATTAAATTATGCTCACCTCCTTTGCTGATATGGAAATAACACAATCATCTCCTTCAGCAACAGAACTATCAACTTTAATGAATGCCCCTGATTCCTGTCTTATTTGTTTAATAATGACACCACCTTTTCCAATTACAGCTCCTATATTTTCTGGTGGACAAATCAAACGAAGTGAGAACTCCTTTGCAGTGTAAGAACTCCCATATGGACCCACTGATGAAATCACACCCACGAGAGGGCCACCGACATTTGGATTGTTGAATGCTATTCCAGACCTATAAATGCTGGATGCCGACAAGAGCAAATGCTGTGACCTTGAGGGGTTATCATGAAGACGAGATGCAACTTGGTATAGAGCTTTCTTCACAACAGTAGCTTCCCCTGTTATCTGAGATTTAAACAAGTACTAACTGTCAAAACTATCACAGATGTTTTTCCACTCACTCTTCACACAACCAAAAGCAAGCATCAGAAAACTCCGAGCATACTGTAAGTTTCAATTTCAGAGTACAGATACAAGGGGATCGCTGTAATATCACTAACAGCAGAAATTCATCAACATCTTATGAAACCCAAACTAACCATGTTTAGACATCATGGAAAAGTTTATGGATTCTTTGTATATTAAAAATGACAAGCTACTGCATACAAACCACCTAGTTGGTTCTAAAAGGTCTGGAACTATCCTGCATGCATACTCTCAAGATCCCACCAGATAAACCATAATGCTGAAAATGCAATTCTTAACATCCATCTCAAAATTTTTAATCGTATGCCGAATTAAATGCAACAAGTAAATTAATACCAGTTATAAATGGTTTACAATACCTGGATAAGTTCATCAGAACTCAGAGCACAAGGTGGTAAATGCTCGCTACCCAAAATTCTGATCTGAGCACCAGTTTCATTTCGTATGTTCTTGATTATTTGTCCTCCTTTCCCAATCACACAACCTATCTGATCAGATGGCACAAGAAAACGCACAGTGACTTGCAGAGGCTCCTCAAATGCACCATTCACAGGCGACTCCTCAGTGACCACCCTGTCATGCACCCGAAAAAGGGCATCTTGCGCAGGCGAAACTGGGTCCTCCTCATAACCATTTGTTTCATCACTTGTGCTATAAATGGTGACTACACGTTCATCACATCCCGAGATAGTCTCGCTAATCCTAATCTTTGCGTGGGTTTCTGCTCTCAATTGCTTCGCTATATCCCCGCCAATTCCAATAATGCTCCCAATTTTTCTCGATGGACATAAATAACGGTAAACTGTATCATCTGGTCCAATACCATTTGGTTCTTTTTCATCATTGGGGTTCCTTCTTTTCATCCCTTCATTTCCAGAATAATCTGGTGAAGCGTTCAATGTTTTCTCATAATCATTCCTCTGGTCCATTGTTCAACAAGATTATATAAACCTAATCCTACCATTAAAAAAAATCAAAATCCAATCAGCATTCTATTGTACAGCGTTAAAATAAATCAAATCAAATGAAAATGTAAAATGCAGTACCAATGTGTTTCATGTGAAACACAAACCGCCAAAAAATTCACAATTTTTATCAGACTTCCATGTCGCTAAATTTAAAAGATTCAGTTTTTCTAACCAGAAAGTGTTAATATTTCAGTTTTAAAGGGCACCCATTCAAGTAAATCTGCTAAATTCAGTAAATAGTCTTGAAACAGAGTGCACAGTAGCCCAAAAATCAGCAAATCAAATTTCCCAACTAGAAATAATAGCATTAAATTAATTACATAATCTCAAAAGGCATGTTTCTGAACATATGATAATAATTATAATAAAGATAAAGCGTGGAATATTACAGTTGAGAATTTAAGGTATATACTTTAGAGAGAGTGACCTCGCCGTGAAATTCTTCGGAGGCGCTATAGGTGACTGCGTTTCTTGGTTTGCGTGCATCTGAGGTATAACCGCTTCTGAAACTACTCGGCATAAGATTTGTACTTTTTTTTTCGACACAAATATTTGTGTTTTTTTGGTATAAAGAAATATCTAGAATATCTTGGCTATTGGATTTTGAGGGTTAAATTTGAAATGAAATATACATCCCTAAAATATCCTTCTCTCTGTTCTTTCTTTTTTCCCATTTTATAAATGGATCTTACTATACGTGCATAAAAGTTTATATAAGATATTACATAATGTCCAATGATACTTTATTATTTGCCGGTTTAAAATACTGTCAATTTTTTCATTCAATCTTTTTTCGTCACATTATTTTATGTAACCACTTATTTACCATTTTTATGTATAAGTAACATAATTCTTTATAAATTATAGTTCAAGCGACAAGAGTAAACTTACTTATTCCCTATTTAGTGCGGATTAAAATCAATTTTTAGTAGATCTTGATAAAAACGGATAAAATTTAATTGAAAATTTGTGAATTCCATAAAATATGTTGTTAAAATTAATTATTAACTTTAATTTAGATTAAAATTTAAATTTTTGTCCCTATCAAACAAGGGCAACTTTTACGGCGAGAATTAAAAAAATATATATATTGTTAGGGCACAGTTCGGGATAACCAAATACTTCATCCTCGTCTGAATTACTTAGTGAAAAGGAGCATGGCGAGACACAAGGGCAAACCGAGCAAATTTTTTTTAGTGCGACAATATTAGTACCGGTTAAAAAATAACAACATTATATTCAAAATGAAATACCTTACAATTATTATTTAAGAGTTTTCATACTTTGATATATTTGTTCAATCACTTCATTATTAATCTTTACGAACATTTCTTCATTATTAATCTTTAAGAATATTTCTTTTTCCACATAAACAATAAGACTATCATTCATTCACTCATTTTCAATCCGATTGTGTAATCTATCATTGACAATGTCCATGGCAGAAAATATTCTCTACCGTAACATTAGCAATTAGAAGCAGGAGCGAATCCAATGAAGGCTCCATGGAGGCATATCACTAAACTTTGGACCACCCTCATTTAACAATATAAGTCAGCAACCCAAGTTAAATAAATAAAAATAAATAAAAGGGAAAATTTCATAAGTAAGTGATTAAGTATCATCAATTTCAAAATTAAAGATTGATGTTTTAAATTTCAAAAATCAGGTTTTCATTAAAATTTATTTATAATTTAATTTATTAATTATATATTTTATTAATAAGTATATAAAGGTCACATTTCGATCACAAATCAGAATTTTTATATGTTACAAAATATTTTATGATCATAATTCAAAAATTTTATAGGTCACAATTTGTTCATCGGTCACAATTTATTTATTGATCACAAATCATAAATATTATATCACAACTTAATATACAGTCACAAATTATCAAATTAAGGTCACAATTTTTTTTTGTCACATATTGTTTATTGGTCATCGATTAACCAATTTGATGGTCACAATCAACCAAATAATCGGTGACCACCACAAACGCTTGCGACAATTACCTTGTCACTGCCTCCAATAGCACTACTGTCGTCGCCTAATAGCATCATCACCATCTAAAACAAACCAACACCATAATCTCTCAGCACCACTGTCACCACCTCCAACAAACTACCACTTTCAACTTCAAAACCACCACCGCCAACAATAAGATTCGCCGCCGCTGCCACCAACAAAACCACAGCCACCACCAGATCCAACATAATCGTCGCTACCCAAACACCACCACCACAGCCCCCATCCACCAACCAAAAACACAACCCAAAAATTCCACACCAGATCGGGGCGTTGCAGATCCTGACCATGACGCGAGCAAATCCCGACCACAGCACAAAAATAACTACCACCTCCAATCACCACCACCACCACCACCGCACGCATGCACACACACATATACACACCCAACCATCGCACCACAACCACAGCAACACAGCCGCACACACCACTATAGTTGCGAACCACTGCCACACCCATAAAGCTCTATGTTCCCACCTCCGCACCGTACACCTCCACCACCACCACACCGCACACCTCTACCACCACCGCATCGTGCTAACATCACTACCCTTGCTGTCGCCAAATCCACTATCACCATAGCAGTGTGAAAACCACCCACTGTTTCAGACCTTCTTACACGGGATGACGTCGACGCCATCGCCGCTGATCGTGTCGCTGTAGTGTCATGTTGTAGTCAAGCCAACGCCGTAGAGAGAGGAGAGAGAGGGGAGAGAGCTGTATAAGCGGGAGGGAGATGGGAACTTAAGGTTTGGGTGGATAGATTAATATTTAACGTAGTGATTAAAATTTATTAATATTTAAATTATATTAATTATTAATTAAAACCTGATTTTTGTATTATGAAACTTGATTATTTATTTTAAAAGTCATAATTTATTTATGGATCACAAATCATAAATATTATATCACAACTTAATATACAGTCACAAATTATCAAATTAAGGTCACAAATTAACAAATTTTTAGGTCATAAATTTTTTTTTTTTTGTCACATATTGTTTATTGGTCATCGATTAACCAATTTGATGGTCACAATCAACCAAATAATTGGTGACCACCACAAACGCTTGCGACAATTACCTCGTCACTGCCTCCAACAGCACTACCGTCGTCGCCCAATAGCAACATCACCATCTAAAACAAACCAACACCATAACCTCTCAGCACCACTGTCATCACCTCCAACAAATTACCACTTTCAACTTCAAAACCACCACCACCAACAATAAGATCCTCCGCCGTTGCCGCCAACAAAACCACAGCCACCACCAAATCCAACATAATCGTCGCTACCCAAACACCACCACCACAGCCCCCATCCACCAACCAAAAACACAACCCAAAAATCCCACACCAGATCGGGGCGGTGCAGATCCTGACCATGACACGCAGCAAATCCCGACAATAGCACAAAAATAACCACCACCTCCAATCAGCACCACAGCACGCACGCGCGCGCGCACACACACACACACCCAACCATCGCACCACCATAGCACCCATAGGACCGCAACCGCACCCATAGCAATACAGCCGCACACACCACTGCAGTCGCGAACCACTGCCACACCCATAAAGCTTTCTGTTCCCACCACCACACCGCACACCTCCACCACCACACCGCACACCTCCACCACCACCGCACCACGCTAACATCACCACCCTTACTGTCGCCAGGTCGACTATCACCATAGCAGTGTGAAAACCACCCACTGCTTCAGACCTTCTTACACAGGATGACATCGCTGTGGTGTCATGTTGCAGTCAAGCCGGAGCCGTAGAGAGGGGAGAGAGATGCATAAGCAAGAGGGAGAGGAGAACTTAAGGTTTGGGTGGATAGATTAATATTTAACGTAGGATTAAAATTTATTAATATTTAAATTATATTAATTATTAATTAAAACCTGATTTCTGTATTATGAAACTTGATTATTGAT